TAGGGTTGGGGAGGGATAGTGGTTCTCCTAGATTACTGTGTTATGGTTGTTAAATTGACACGTTCTTAGATTATTGGATTACTGTTATTTACCTTCTCTCCGAATTTAGCATGTTTTAGAGTTGCTAATGGATTTACTATGTTTCAGCCAAAATTAATGTTGAGGGTGGTCAATTGAACTACAGAAAAAGAAAAAAAAAATAGAGAGGTGTAGAGATTTATATGTGGTTCTTATTGTAGCTAGCCGAGCGATATGGATCTTATTTGGTTTAATAGTCTAATGGAATAGTTGGGGAATTCTGCATTATCTAATCTTTCCACCTTTATATGTATTTGCTTAACGTATTGCAAATATTCTGAAATTCCGGGTGTTTGAACAGTGACAAATTGGTATTGGTTTTCGAATTCCCCATTCAAAATACATAGCAATTTCAGCTACCGTTTGTCAAGCAGATGCATAGCTAATAATGAACATCTGTTTACTCTCATACTAAACCTTTCACAATCCTCAAATACATGGCTAATTCAATTACACACACATTTGATTGCTACAATATATTCCTTGGGAGTAAGCATTGTTTGATTTTAATCGCAAATGGTAGCTGAAATTATCTTATTTATTACCACTTTTGATTTGGATTTGTGATACACAATGTTTAAATCATTTGATCGTTAGTTAGTTAAATTTAATATTGTTGGTTTGGTTGTGATTGAATTGATCCAATCTCAAAAAGTGTGGCATGTGAGGTGATAACAGACTAATAGAGGAGAATGGGTTGATACATCTGTGTTTGATTTACAAGTTTTGGCAAATTGTTGCCATTTTTTTTTTTTTTTTGTTTCCTAGTGATATATATATATGTCTTCATAACCAAATAGCAATACCTTCGAGTTTCTAGAAGTTTTAATGTGTTTCGTGTCCTAACGTCCACACAAGTTCTCACTAAGATCTTTTGGTTTCTGGCTAATTTAGTTTTTTGCCATTGAATTGTAGGTTTAGGGTTTAGAGTACTTGTTATTAGTTCTGTCAACTTTAATACTAGAGTAGAACTATAGAAATATCTGGTGAAAGCAATGAAGAAATCACTATGATTGATCTGCAAAGAGGCTCTAATAGATTACAAGAGACAAGCTAGAGATAGAAGTTTACACAAAACTAACTCAACTTAATAAGTAACAATCTAATTATTTCTTAGCCAAAACTAAGCCGAAAATTGTCAATCCCGTAACTGACCTAGAAAATTAAGCCATCACCCTCAGACCTCAAAATTCAAGTAACCTCATGATTTTAATATTGCTTCTCCTGTTTTATATAATTATTGTTCTATGAATTGTATTCTTCAGTTAAATAATGATTAATTAGAATGTCTAGGAAAAAAAATTAGGCATTGCAGTGCTTGAAATGATAATATAAATTCTATCTAGCCATTACCCAGTGAGAGAACCTAATTTGGGAAGTAGGTTTTAAAATTTCAATAGTTTCGTTGTGTGTAATCTTTTATGCTTTGCCTACCGGGAATCTAACAACCAAAGGCTTACTTATGTTTCTCAAATGGTTTTTAACTGTATGTTTCGTTTCTTTACTATGTTTAGATGATATAAATGATCAGTTCCGTGATGCTGTTAAGAAACGAATTTTGTGATGCTGTTAAGAATAAAGGATCTAATATATTTAATTTGTTGTCTACAGAAAACCAAGGAACTTGATAGCATAGAATTACTAAGTCAGTTACCTGCTTTGCGATAGCTTCTCTCCCTTCTTGGTTGCCAGGTGCGGATCCATGCATTGTACTTATATTTTTGTAATTTAATTATCCTCTTTGAAATTTCTGTCAAGATATCCATTTTCCTGCATTTTAAAGCTGAAAAGTGTAGTTTTTGGAGTGAACACAATGGAACAATCGAATCAACTTTCGTTTTCCAAAGACCTGCTCCAACTTTGTTGATGAATTTCGTTCTCAATTTTAATTGGTTATCTACTTGAATCCATTTTTCTAATCCTAATTAGTTCATGAATTAGCGCTCTTTCATGTTTAAATATGCTAAATACTTTAGATTTGAAATTTTGTGTGTTGAATATCAAGATAGATAAACTTTTCTCTAAAACACTATCTGTCCATTTATGCATTTATTTCTAACTTTCTGTTATTCCTTTTGTTGTTCCTCCTTTCTTCTGATATGTTTCATTTATCTGTTAGAAATTGGAAAAATTGAAGTTAATGTGAACAAATGACAATTGGCTTTGTTAAAGGATAGATTGCATTGAAATGTGGTTGTAATGATCATCGAATTCCCTCATCTAGGTAATATTGAATCGTATCGAGTTCTATGTGTGTTGGGTTTTCTGGCTATCCTCTGTTTGGATGCTTGGAAAGTTTGGTGGGAATTGGAAATTCAGTTTGGAAATGAGAATTTGGAGTTGTTTTCTATGTCGGTTATGGGATTGACAATTTTCGGCTTAGTTTTGGCTAAGAAATAATTTGACCGTTACTTATTAAGTTGAGTTAGGAGGATTAAACGGTTTAAGGTTTAGAGTACTTGCTATTTGTTCTATTAGCATCATGATTTTCATTCAGTCAACACGTCTCTAGGCGGCAAAGTGGAGGGATTGTGCAAAGCCAAGTCATAGTTTTTGCAAATTTAATTTGCTTTTATATCCGATTGAATGGAAGTAATTGTAGGTTGCATGACATTACTGTTCAATTATAGCCTTGGTCGAGGGCCCTTGCAGTTTACTCAACGTTTCACCTAGGCCTTGAGCTTTCGTATTCTTCGCTGAACCAAATTAGTTGTGTTGGATTCAAAATATTCCTAAATTTTTTTTTTTTTTTGGTGTGTCTTTGATCATTTAGCTAAAATTTCATTAGATTTCGTCTTTAAATTTGAAAGTCTTAGGGTTGCTAACGGATTTGCTTTTTGCAAATTTCAAAAATTTGGATCGTTGGAAGAAGAAGTTGGTTCCTTGATGTTTTGAGGTATATAATTATGCACCATCACTTTTTTTCAAAGCCTAATTAGTTATGTACCTTTTTTTTTTATTTATATTCATGAAGCTTTCATGCTTGGATTTTAAATATATGATTCATTTTTGTTCGTTTTAACTTATATTGGAACTGAGTTTCTTTTTATTTTATGTGCGTATATGTTATCTGTCCATTTATGTCAAGGTCGAGTAACTAAGCATGTATTTGGTGGTTTGAGCTTAGAATGGAACTGGACTTCTGTCTATTTTGTGCATGTATCTGTATGTGTCTATTTATGTAAAGCTTGAGAAAATTGAGTAGTCGGTGTATTTGTTCCAAACGCCATTCAAATTGGATGATTGGTTTATTTGTTCTAAACCCCATTAGAATTGTATTTGCTTGGATGGGCTGTTAGTATAGGGATAATTAGATTAGGAATTTTGTTTTGGCATTTTGTGATTGGGATCTAATTATAGGTTTTGTGTTGCACATCTCCATGTTTTAGTTTTTGTCATGTTTGTGTAGTTAGTTTGGGATCTAATTGTCCAGTGGTTGGACGGGTTTTCTTTTTTTTTTTTTCCTTTTAATTTTGTTTGTGCGATTCTGTTAGGGTTGAAGGTCCATTGCTATCTCTGTTATTCTGGTTTAGGCCAGTGTTCTTGCTTTTTTATTGAATGTTGTTAAGCATTTTATCTCTGTGATTCTGTTATTGGTTGGTTGGTGTTTTAGTTGGGTTTTAAAATATGTTGTTCATAACTGCACTTTCTCAACAAATCAGAATTTTTTTTTTTTTTAACCCACATTTTAGAAAATGAGTCACTTTTTAACAATGCACGAATGCATCTTAGATGTTCAGAAAAATTCGTGGGTATTTACATTCAAGTCGCAAGATGCACTAACTCATCTCAGCACAAATTTCCCTTTATCTTGCGAAGGCGATAGTTCCCTCTAAAAATTTGTTATGCAATGACAATCAACAAAAGTGAAGGACAATCCTTGAAAATTGTTGGTTTGTATCTATCGCAACTTGTTTTTTCTCATGGGCAACTATATGTTGCGGTGTCCAGAGTCACCTCAAAAACGAGTCTAAAAATTATTATTGCTCATGATTCCGACGTGTCTTACGGTTATACAAAAAACATAGTTTATAAAGATGTTTTAAAACATTTACATGAAGGTATAAGTTTGCATTGTTATTTTGTCCTTTTGTTTTTTTTCTAAACATGACTCAGCCGCTACTTTGATAAATCAGCTTATTAAGTTTTCAATTTAATTTGACTCTCAATTTTTTTTCTATCTAGATCGATGGAGATGATGCCACTTCATTGTCTGAGCCCACACCAGCTTGTAGGATGTGGATCAAAAAAACCATCGGAGATGATCCTCAGCCACAGAGTCTCGATTGTGTGTTTGTTGATAAACAGGTGAGAACTAGTCATAGTACCCGCGCGTTGCTGCGGGTGTTATAAGTGTATAAAACATGTAAAAAGTTGGACATTAAACTACAAAACAAGGAGCAAAATTAGTGTCTTCAATATCTAAGTCTCTGCCAAAATGTTCTTGGATCTTCAACTTATGTTGTAAACCTGGGTTCTAAAACAATGTAAATTATTGAAACAATGACAATAAATAATGTCACTTGAATTTGATCTAGGTTTGATCTAGATTCGAACTACGTGCTGATGATCTGAATGAAAGAAAGAAATGGTAATAGTAGAAATTGGTTTGAATTTCTGATGTCATGTGTCAGTGGGTTTTAAATTTTCAGACCATTATGCCTATTATATTTGTAGTAAGGAATGAACATTCACATATAACAAAAGGTTCAGGTTTTATCAAGACATTTTAACACAGTTAACTATCTATGCAGAGCTTTTAAATTAGTTTCCAAAAAGAAAAGTAACGCCTCGTTTCGAATTTTATTATCTAAATCTTGGCCTCAAGCAATTTTATAGTGATCCCCTGCAAAAGAAACCGGCAAGCAAAGAAAAAAGAATAAACGATGAGCAATAAAACTCACAGACCATAATACACAAAATTCCCTATAACGTAAATTGATAAAGCATTTTACCCAATCCAATTGAATTCCTGATCACAACACATAAGATAAACTAATAAACCATTTTATCAAAATAACCATTTAATTTTAAACATTTAAAACCGAAGAGAACCAAACGCGCATATTTGGAAGGAAAAAAATGGAGTGTTTTGAGTATCTAAACCTCACCCTCATCACTTATAAAATGTAGTGGTCCCCATGGAAAGAGAACTTGCAAAACGGCGTCCTGGCACAAACACAACATATTAAACAAACATATGAAGACAAAAAAATTTTAAAAACCGACAATGAACGATAAAATTCAGAAATCCCAGGACACAAAATCGCAACTGACATAAAAATTAGTAATAAAAGTTATGAAAAAACAGACACCACTTGACATCAAATTGCTTGACGCCAACGACGACCCCAAAGGCAAGTAAAATCCCAAACCAGTCAAGAAAAAAATTAAGAGTCCATTCCTCTGTCGTATTCTTTTCCCCTGTTTTGCCACCCCTAATCCCAAATGTGTCTTCGATCCTCTTTGTCCCATTTTTCTCTCACCCTAATATCTCACCTACAAAATCTTAACGCTACTAGTTTCCCCCCGCCAGCAAACCCTCAACACCCTGTAATGCTATGTTCTTCCAAATCTATAACCAAAAAATGCACGCATAAACACGATTGAAATTTGCGAAAACCCACAACACAACCTAACTAAAAATCTCACAGATCAAAAGTTTCACCCAAAAGAACACCCCACCCCCCCCCCCCCCCCCCCCCCCCCCATCTCTCTTGTCAAATGAATACTCCAAAAGCAATTCAGTGGTCGATAACAACCCATTTAAAATTGAACCCAAAAAAAATTAAAAGCTTCTGAGATTTAAAATTGAACAAAACACAATCCATACATTATAACAAAAACTGCACGCTTAAACATGCTAGAAATTCACCAATACCCACAACATAGTTAACATCCTCTTCGATTCTATAAAATCAGAAAAAGCAAATTTGCACAGAAAACCCATTTTGATATTCATATTTAATTGTAAACTCACATCATGTGGCATTTTTCAGACATAGGAAAAAAGAAGGACAAATGAATTCCCACGAATGTAACTCTTAAAAAAAATAAAATAAAAAATAAAAAATTAATTCTACAACAAAACCCAAAAGCAAGCAAGCAACCAAAGTTTCTCACCTTAAGCACAAATGTCTTCCAAAGCTGCAGACAAAAGTTCCAGAAAAATAAAAACCCGAATCCCCTGAAATTCAAAAGAAAACCTAATTATACAGCCACATGCAAAACCCGATGGCACAAAAAAAAAAAAAAAAAAAAAAAAAAACCCAAAAATCAGAAGAGAACATATTTCAACAGAAATCCATTTACAAATCGAAAATCCATTTGTCAAGACCCACAACACAACCTAACTAAAAAAACTCACGGATTAAAAGTTTCTCCCCAAAAAACCCATCTATGTCATCAAACGAAAACTCCAAAAGCAACAACCCATTTAAAATTGAACACAAAAAAAATTAAAAGCTTCTAACATCTAAAATTGAACAGAATACAATCCATACAGTTGCATAAAAAAGTTGTAGATGTAAGATTAGAAGAACTCACCACAAAACTATCCACTTTGAGACCAACAAGGCAAAGAGAGGAGAGAGCAGACGGCTACGAAAGAAGAGAAGCAAAAGAAATGGGAAAAAAAAAGGGACCAAAAGCAGTGAAAAGGAATCACTGCAGAAAGTAGGAAAGATAAGAAACCAGACAAAAATGTTGAAGGTCAAAGTTGAAATAACCAAAAAGAAGCAGAGGCAAAAAGGGAAGCACACTGCCCTAGAACAGTGCCACCTGAGTTTGGGTTTTAGTATGTATAGAATTTTGCGGCTTTTTCGTTATCGTAAGATGCTTACATTTTTATATATCCAAGTTTGCATACTGTGTTCTTGGTACAACAAATTTTATGGTCAAACATTCTCTAAAGTTCATGAACTAATTGCTCTACGCAATTCGCGGCCCAATTATACATCACTTTCACATAATTAATGTTTGTGTGGTTAATTGTTTTATTAGATTCAATCATGGGCCTCAATATCAATTTTTATACTGGGCCACTACATTCATGCAAATCCAAAAGAAATCAAATTCCATCTTCTCCATATAATGGCATGTGTTACAATAAATTTCGTTCTTGGAAAAACAAATTTTAGAGTGTGTTATTGGCACTTTTGCTCTCTTTGCATTTCACTATAGCGATTATATTTAATTCTGCTTAAACAAGTTTTTTTACAATTGTAAACAAAACTAAGTAGAAACCATCAATTCTTCTTTTTTCTTAATTTGTTTTGTTTCCTTTTTTACCCATAAAAATATAATTAAAAGTTCATTTACAAGGTTGCTTCAGTTGCTGTCATTTCATTTCATAAAGTAATATTTACTATTATGGTGTATTTTATCATAAATGTTGTCTCTATGGCCACAATTGTGCTATCCTCACTGTTTTTGAGCTTCTTAAACCACATGTGTTAAATATTCTCCTGCTCATTTAATAATCTATATTATTTTAATTTTCTCCTTCAAACAGAGGGATCAGTTCACACGACTATGAACACTCGAGACATCCAATTTTTTTTTGGACCTTCTGACAGTTGGCGATGCATACGAGATCAGCAAATTTCACGTTGTTCACAACAAGATATCGAGCAAGGTTGTCCCTCATCCTGCCAAGGTTGAATTAAATAGGAAAACCACAATCGTTTCCATTGACAAAACAAACCAGGAGATCCCAAAGCAGTGATTCAATTTGATTGACCTTGATCAGCTTCATAAGAGAATCAACAACGATGTTGAGCTTATAGGTAACAAATTTGGTTTTAGTTGCTGCACTAACATCTAAAATTATTACTATAATTTATTCATTGCCTTTGGTGTGCAATCATTTTCACCGCTAAAAATCATTCGCAGATGTGTTTGGTTGCTTAATGGATGTGCAGCCGATTAAAGAGCTGACTATGCAAAACTCAAACATTGCGAAGAAGATGAATCTGAACCTGCAAGGTATCAAGTCATTCCTATTTCCGTTAAGTTCAAATTAGCTTTATACATAAGGTGTCGTATTTATGACATATAAAACATCACATTTTTAAAACTTACAAGGGCGAAACGGTTAAGGCCACCTTATAGGGAGAAGCTGCAACGACTATTGAGGACAATGGAATGCAATCTCGTTCTATCACCCGTCTTCATTGATTTAACAAGCCTCAAAGTCAAATAATACCAAGGTTGCACCTCAACGTCCTTTATTTAGTAGCTTAAACCTTCAATTTATTGATTGTTATGTTTTATACATAGGAAACCCTGTTCTTGGAAGCACTGGATCAACTAGTTTGTATTTTCAATCCAGAGATTCCGCAGCTCACCCAATACAAACAAAAGTAAATCGACAACCTTCCTTTAATAACTTTGCTGTTTATATTTCTTCTATTTATCTTTCTCAACCTAATCATACACGAATCAGGTTTGAGCATATGAGATCACCTATTCGAATCTTGCGCACCTCAGCTGAGATGTATGCAAACCGTGCTGTTAGTCCTAATTTTGAGTCCAAAACGATTGATGAGCTCCTTCTACTCACAAAGTTAGTCTCTTATCACATACTTGTTAACAATAGCCACATCTTTTTAATAATAAATTTTAGCTCTTCTTCTTGCTTTTTTCTTTATTCATTTATATTTCATGTTTACAAGATGATTAAATGTATTTCATTATTTAAAAATTGTGTGATTCCATAACAGAATGCAAGTTTTGCATGCAAAGCGACTGTCATTGGATTCGATTTGACTAAAGGTTGGTCGTACAAGTCGTGCCCGTCCTGCCATAAAGCTGTCAAGAAAACTTCCAGATCATTTAAGTGCAATGAACATGGTTTATTAATTAGATTACCTGAACCATGGTAATTTCTTTTACACCTATTTTACATCTAAATGTTGTATTAGGCTGCTTAGTCATTTTTAAATTTCTTGCAATTATAAAATTTATGTGTCTTTCGATTTATGTATATACTTTGTGACTCAATCTACGACCTCTTGAATTGCCTTTGATATACATATGGATGGGAGTGTCTTTGGTTGACCAAAGTTTTGGAATACTCATGGACTTTTATTCAAAGTTGTTTTTGTAAACAAAGCGCCTTTGTATTTGGATCACAACTAAATGGTGAGATAGGTACTACATTGCTGATAAATGAATGAGAAAGCTGCATCTTACATCCTGCATGTCAATTTGGGATTATTTTCTATTTGTTTTGTTGAAGGAAATGGAATTTTCCCCTTTCATTATATCTGCAAGTTTCACAATCATGGGCATTAAATGTTGCATGTTATAGGTTGTTAATCCTTACTAAGATAGAATATAACGCAGTATTTTATTGGTTCCTTGCTTTTTGGGTAGCTTCCATTTGTTTTGGACACAAATTTTTGTGTAATTTGATGCCAAAAAAGATTTTAAACACATGTTTAGACTGCAATGACGTGCTCATTTTGCCTGCTTTTCCAATACGCAGACTGTATAGTTCCTGTCGTATTTTACTTCAAGATAGTTTAGTCATATTGGCTTTTTTTGTTTTTTCGTTTCAGGATTTTGTGATTATTAGCATTCTTACACCCATTATTTGGTATTTGGTTAAATTTGTTGGCTTTATGAGATTAGTTTTGATGGTGTTTGGTACTTGAGAATGTTGCAAGAAAAAAATGAAATAGGAATCTATGTTTGCCTAATTTTTTTAACTACGCTGAAATCCAAAGGCTTATTTGATTGTCCATATATTTGATTTGAAGACATGTTCTATTATGGTTTTGCATTTGCTATGCATCCCATCTATAGAAAAAAGGAGAAATGTGAGATCTACAAAACTGTTTTCGTTTGGGTACACTTTGTTTTCATTTATTGTGATGTCTATAGGGACATTGGTTTTTCTCTTAATTTTTTATTAACATGCTTTTGGCAATCTATACTTTTAGAATGTTAATGGTAGTAATAACTGCCTAACATGAAAATATCCAACTCTTTCTTAGGTTCAAAATCAATCTTATAGTGGAAGACAACACAAATTAGCACAACTTCCTCATGTTAGGAAGGCATGCTGAAAAGAAACTTCATGTTTCTTGCCACACTTTGGTAATAGAGGACGGATATGACGATCCCTTCATGGTGTCGCCACCTCTGAAAAAATTGGTGGGAGAGACAAAAAGATTTTTGCTATCTTTTGGCAATCAAAATAGTGACTTTCGGAAGACGGACTTCATCATTTATGGATTGATTCAAGATCAACTACCCTTGAACCCAACAATTGTCTCAATCGACCCGCAAACGCCTGCTGCAGCCACAGGAAAAGAAATTATGAGTGAAGCAACTCCCGCCCCAGTGATGCCTTCCCAGCGGCCAGATCACCAACCCTAATCGGTTGCACCTCCCAAAACTTCAAAGAGAGCATTGTTCATTGATCAAGTAGACAAACCCGACTGGTTAAGTTTTACTCTCAATTATCATCTTATGTGTAAATCTTAATAAATATGGTTGCTTATCTTGGGTGTACATATGTGTTACACCGCTGATCAAAAGTTGTTAGCCAATTTTTTTGTACCACTCTTTGACACTTTTTTGCATACCTATTACGATTCCCTCTGACCTTATAAATTGTACCTTCATTCATAGCAAAAAAACTCGCGCCGGGTAAACAGAGACAACCAATTCTGCTAGAATTGCTAAAGAATTCCACAAACTGGTTGTCTCTAAGATTGAGTCTACCGATAAAGAGCCGATAGCTGCACTCAAAACAAAGTCTCAAGCCAAAAAAATCCAAAGATAGGTAAATTAGAATTTGTTTTACGCATGCATGCTTGCATAACATCTGTTATACCAGTGTTTGCTAAACTATAATTCATGTTTTTTACTATAGTGCTAAAGATGTTCACTCATCGAAAAAATGAATGACTACAGTCTCCGTTATGAATTGCTACAAAGATGTTCTCCATTTTTTTGCCCTTGAAACATGTGTAACTGAAAACTTAGTTGCTGAAACAACAACAATAGAACATTTTTTTGAGTTTTTGTGTAATTGCTTAAACAAGTGCCTGGGCTGCAGGGCATGTATTTTACCACCTTAATTGCAGGGGCAAAATATGTGTGGACTATATCTTCCTTTTTTCGTAACTAATGGAAACAGGCATCCTGTATCTTTATTGCTTTGAAATTTGGGTTTTTTTTTTTATTTTTTATTTTTTTTTTATTTTTTATTTTTTGTAACTACTTGAATAGGTGCCTAGGCTGCAAGGCATGTATTTTGCATCGAAAAAATGATTGACTGCAGTCTCCGTTATGAATTGCTACAAAGATGTTCTCCATTTTTTTGCCCTTAAAACATGTGTAACTGAAAACTTAGTTGCTGAAACAACAACAATAGAACATTTTTTTGAGTTTTTGTGTAATTGCTTAAACAAGTGCCTGGGCTGCAGGGCATGTATTTTACCACCTTAATTGTAGGGGCAAAATATGTGTGGACTATATCTTCTTTTGTCGTAACTAATGGAAACAGGCATCCTGTATCTTTATTGCTTTGAAATTTGGGTTTTTTTTTTTTTTTGTTATTTTTTGTTTTTTTTTTTTTTTTGTAACTACTTGAATAGGTGCCTAGGCTGCAGGGCATGTATTTTGCCACCGTAATTGCAGGGGCAAAATATGTGTGGACTGCATCTTGCTTCTGTAACTTATGGAAACAGGCATACTACATCTTTGTTGCTTTGAACATTTATGCTTGAAAGATTAGCTGCTGAAACAAAAACAACCTACATTT